TCCACGCCAAAGTTTTACCTTCACCTACAGGTGACTTGTCACGTTTTCATGGGAATGAATGATGGTGTAAGTGACCGGTAGGTATCATCGTAACAAAATCTCACTTATTAGGTGGATTTCTACTCATATATACTGTTTTAAATAACTCTCACGAATTGAACGTTAGGACGACAAGTTTCATATCTTCAAACTGTATATGTATGCATGTAGCATTTTACTTAATAATAATAGTGTTAAGTGTGTGCTATCATAGCACTCATTCCCCTACACATATTTTCTGGGGTTGTTGATACCGTAAGCTTAGTTCTTCATCTATAAGACATCGACATGAATACTGCTACCGAATATACATGCAAAAAGGCGAATATATGCATAAATAATACCTAGAATCAACTATATTCCAGGAACTCATAACGACATTTGTCAGTGAATTGAACATTCCACTGTTCAAATGTATATTGAATGGTTTCGTTTAATTTTTTAAATAATCCCTATTTATCCTATGATGGTTTCAAACTTTAAAAATCAAAGTAGGCGGGTAATGAATAGATAGATAAATTTCTACCTGAATTAACAATAAATTTTCTACATTCAGCAAAGATTTGTCCTAGGAGTTAACCAATAATTTTCTTCTCTAATCACTGATATTGATTTATTGAAATAGTTCTAAGAATTACCCGAAGATCGATACAATTACTAAATGAAATGCCTAGTAGACAATTTCTATTCTAAGGTCATATAATGCTTTTATGCCCGTTAACTAACATCTTCGCAACTGGGATGTCAAGTAGGGAAACAAAGTGACATTTTGTTAATTAACAATCTGAATTCGAAAAAATAAAAAAGACTTTCAAGAAGAAATAAGAGAAAGTTTTTTATCGACTGATAGATAACTCCTGACAAATGATTCAGTGTGTTGTTGTCTGCTGGCGCCAGTTGACTGCTGTAATGTCCAGTTACATAGGGAAACGAAAATAATTGTAAACCTTGTATGTGATACTTTGAATAGAAATATGAATAAAAATAGAACTATACAAAAAGCTTCGAAGCGCTGTTTCGTGCGTTGTGTTGGCCATGAAGAAGGTTGGCTGAAAAGTAATTACTGTCCAAATGTTCATTTTATTTTCAGACCTAAACGAGACTTAAAACAACTCGTGACATACGCAGTAGTGGGGTAGATACTGAGCCGAATATTCCAAATCATGGATTTAGTCTTTTCCTCAGAACTTTCTCATTAATCCTACGTCCCGGGGATAAGTATTTCGTCTAACTTCTTACATAAGAAGGAAAAGACACTCTGAGATAACTCAATTTTACAGTATATTTCGTCTGTTTCATTCCACTTTTTTTTATTACTCCCAGTTACTCTCCCCCAGACTGCTTGAAGAAAACTTGATTACACGGCGAAGAATTTTCACAGCTGTCAGTAGGAGGGCAGTAGTGGTGCGTGGTTTATAAACAGACCTTACTGACATTCTCATTGGAAGACATTTGCACTCATGCAAAACTTTCAGCATTCTGTCTACTCACAACTTTTGCCTTACACCACCTCAGATAGGATAAGAGTTTTCACCTATTTGGTATGCATTGTACGTTAAGAAAATTGTGTTTTGTAAGAAATTACTAAGTTACTTAGTAATGGTAAGTAAATAATAGTTTCCATTCTTCCGTAATTATTAATAAATTACAAGCGACAGATGGTGAATTAGAGGTCACTAGAAATGCGATTGGCTTGAACTCGAAGGTAACTTATTGATTTCACCCTTTTCTTGCTACTAAGGGTGTTTTGGGTGTGATCATAGTGACAAAGTGCACAGATTTCTTAACGTGGTAACTGTTCTTCCTCTTTGTTATTTTTATAATTTTTAGGGTTATAACTTACACTGTAGGCGTGTTCCCTGGAAGTGCTCAGCTGACTGCTTACCATTATGGTTGATGGAAGGTTAACACAAGACGATGGAGTCTTCTATTTATGAACACTTTCTTGTCTCAAGTCATTCACTCCCATGTGATTTGTCCTTTTAAGTTATCTAAAGCGGTGAAATTAACCACCATTCAGAAGACTGACCACACCGCTAAGTAGATCTCGAATTATCTTACGTTATGTGTATACCACATATTAAATAGTTCGTAGTTTCACTGATTACTTGAGGACCGGCAAGCAGTAGGCTGATATTCCTTGCCAGTTTCATAGTCTTATATACTATTCACCAATTACAACATTAGGGATTCAACCATTAGGTTGGATGAGATCTGATGAATCACAACTTATTTCCATTTATTAAATATCCCTTCTCAAATAAAACGAATAAAATCTACCGGACAACCTTGCACTATTGAGGAGTATATCAGCCTTCAGATCATAGTCACTTGACCGTTGCATATGGAGGGGGACTTGACAAAGGTCGGAATCCCTGAAATATTGGATCTTGACATAGTACCCTAACAGCCTTACAATCTCAAAAAATCATGGATTGAACCCCTGGAAAAATTGATTGCTAGCAGACAGTATTCAATAAAATGTCAGTCTAGTGCTGCTTGGGTCATTTTTCTGAACAGATTAGCTCTCTGAAGAAAAACTAGCGTGAACCAGAAATGCCGAAATAAACCATTCAGTTAACTTTTGAAATAACAATTAATCCTTCTTTTTGGCACATTGCACATAAAAGGATCACATGGCATGTAATTACAAAAAATCTCGGGTAAATAGTAAAGAACAGTATAATAATAATAATATTAATGATAATGTAGAAAAGCAGACAGAAAAAGAATAACACAGAAAATCCTTCCTTCTCTTATAAGCCATTAATTGTGATTACTATTCAACCGTTTATTTTTCTATTCAACGTAATTTCTTTCTTGCATGAAAAGAGAAGAAGAGGAAAATGTTCTATTAACATGCTCTCTGCACGCTATGCATCATCTCGCTCTGCCTATATATATATATATATATATATATATATATATGTCCTTTTCCTCGCGGATTAAACCCAGTTGGATAACCATTGGAAATCTAAAACTACTCAGTGGGCATTCATTTCATTTATCAAACTTTAATAACCTTTCTGTGACTGCATAAAAAACATTTTTAAATATGACTTAGGCCGATGTGTAACCAGTCCAACTAATTAGCTGCAGATGAGGTTATGATAATTCAGAAAGTATTGATTGTTAGGTAGCAATTTCATTGGCTAAGCGTGAAAGTGAACTATCCGTTTACAAGTTCATCAGTGATCATTTGTATGTAAGCTTGTAATTATCAATGGTTGGCTTTATTCTAGGCATTGTGTATAGATAGTTAAGCGTTCAGTGGTAGGTAACATGGAGAAGATCATGTGAAGACGAAACGAACGAACTTGGTGAGTTATGAAGCCTGTTGATAGCGAGGTGGAAAGCCAGTCGAAATGAATAATGGTTATATGAACAATTCTTTAGATATGGGTGAATATGGTTGTTTTAATTAATACAACAGAAGGTCGATCTAGTGGTTCAATCCCGACAGTCTGTGTTTTAGTTGAACACTCATCCGCTTAACCTCACATCTACCACCGCCACTACTACTAGTGGCACTCACAGCAGGCGGTTATCGGTCTATGATCTATGCTAGCAACTGCTGCCTGAGAGTTCGAACCTCCTGGAGAGGTTCGGGCAGACAGGTGGTGTGACTTTATATGTGACCTATCGCAAACTTTCTCACTGGGAATTAGTTCTTGATCACTAGGTTTCCTGTGGCTTATTGTTTTTTTCCTGTTGACGCGTTACACGCTTACATGTTTATTATCCGATGGTATTATTAGATTACTTGTCCTGACGTTTTGACTTTGACTAGAGAAGTGTGAATAATTATGGTAGACATTTTTCTTCAGTCTGAAACTGCGAGAAAACCAAACAGTTTTCCTATCAGAATATATATTTTACCTAAATAATGAAGATAATATTATCGCCCATAAGAAGGAGAGAGAGACAGAAACAAAGATCTAGAGGACGATGTCATTATTAGCTTTAATCACTGTAGGTGTTATGAAGATAAGTCATACTACTGTGATAGATTATACAAACGTGACAAAAACGGATTAGCGTCCAAGTGACCACGATAAAATGGCAAGAAAAACAGGCAAAAGACTGCAAATACTTCAATCGTTAATTTAGTGAAAAAAAGAATAGAAGGATGAAACGCAATCAAAGCATGATAATTACACAACTTTCATAGAGTCTTTCTAATAGCCTCTAAGATCGTTTCTTTACATTTATCCGTCACTTGCACTATCTTTCCATTTCTTAATAGTGATGATTCTATGATAACTTCTGTGACCCCAGACTCTGTGCTCGGTTGGGGTTGTTAGCCTCATTCTCAACGTTTCATTCTTTACAAGGCTTACTACCGGCTAGGCGAGGCCTAGGAGTGGGTCGATTGGGAATTGAACCCAGAGCAGGTGAGTACTTGGTGAGGATTCTACTGCTAAATTACCGACGCGCATAATCTACTCAAAGACTGCTGACTGCCAATCAACATTGTTAAATATTTTTGACTTTCTGTCTAAAATCCCTTACGATAAAATTATAGATGAAGAAAAAATAAGCTAAAAATGTCGTATATGAAGCTTTTAGTATACAGTGAAACAGGTAAACACTTTTTTTTAGGTGAACAGCAACACGATGATTCACATAAAACATGCTATTTTTATTCTTATGATTTTACTCGAACCGGTTTATTTTTTAAAGTGATTCCAATCAAGGGGAAAAAGAAAGAGAGTACCATTCTGCCTAGACATGAATATTCTTTTTATAACAATCAAATGGGAAAGCAGGTTTAAATTTTAAAACCACTCTTCCCTAAACCTTTTCATTGGTTTGAAAGAAGACAATCAATAAGATCCTACGTATACTAAACGTGAAATATTACAAAAATAAAATATAACCCTTACAATCTGGACGTAGAAGAATGCACAACAAAGAAGGTGGAATAAGAGGAAATACATTGGCATAAAAGTGACACTTACTTTATCGATTTTCTTTTTAAAGTAATCCTTGGGTTTATTTTTACACCGTGGACTAGTTTCCAATGTATACGGTATAGTTAGTAGACCGACCGATTTATCTGATAAATCAATACCAAGAGTAGCTGCAGCTTTAGCACTAATCACTGTAGTAGTAGTAGTCGGTGATGAAGATATAGGCTTTGAAGTAGCTGTGGAATCATTTTTTGGGGAAAATGAGGTTACTGCTACTGTTTTATTGTCTGTGGAACTGGAAGATCTATTTATATCGGTATCACTTTTAATCAGCACTGTAGATTGACTTCCGACTTCTTCGTCAGTTAGTTGGCAGTCAGGTAGATTTAAATTTCCACTAGTTGATTGTGCCATTTGTTGGGCTTTTTCTACTTGAACTAAATTGCGTGCAGTTTGTACTAGTCTGGCGACACTTGAGTCGGAACTCGAACTGACGCTGTCATCATCATCATCATCTTCATCAACATCATCGTTGTCTTCGTCAGGGGAATCACGAAAGTCCTCTTCATCCTCATCATCTCCACCGTCGTCGACGTCATTATCGTCATCTATTTCATCATTGCTTACATTGAATACACGCCTGTCTCTGGCTCCGGCAACTGACAGATTCATCCCTTCATTCACTTCCTTATTAATACTTTCATCAATAATTATCTGACACTGTGTGTTATCAACCCCAGATGATTCATTCCTTTGGGCACTTCTATTGTCTGTACCGGATAGTGATTCTTTTTGGTTTGATTTTTCAGCCATAAAAGAGAAAATAAGAATTCCCGGTGACTTGTTTATCCTTCTTTTTTTTATGTGCTTGTTATCTTCTCTCTGTTTAAAAGCATATACACGCAGGGAAGTCAATAAGGGATACTTAGGACATTACAATTTTATGGAGTTTCTTATCAAGGAAATTATAATCCATAGTTTCATTTAATGTATAAAGTGTGGGTGATAAAATAAATAAATAAGTAAACAGCTATTTTACTTCGTATCAATTTTAGTAAAACTTATTTTATAGGAAAATGATCTAAAAGACACAAAAAGAGAGGGAGATAGTAATGAACTTTATTTGTCATAATATACAACTCTGTAGTTTAACAATGAATCTGATTGGTGCATATGCAACCAACCAATGAGACGCCAGAAAAGCATCAGCTGTTAGGAATATCTAGACAATCAAAATATGCCAACAAAAAAAGAGAATATTGAAAAAAGTGTTTTCTGCCCTTTATGAAAGTAAAGTAGGATGGTATATACCTAAGTTAATTTAAGAGAAAAAGAGAAAAGAAAAGGAACACTAGTTTGTTGCACGCTTTCATTTTAGACATTATTATTATTTCATAAAATGCTTTTTCCACTTTTTCACTTCACTTTACCCTTTTACCTTCCTGCCAATCATCAGAGTGGTGGTTAAACACGAAATAATTTCCAGGTTAATTTTTCTCTTGAACAGAGGAAAAGAAAAGAATGTGCATGCCTGTTAAACTATGCGACCTGTTAATATTGTAATCACAGAGAATAAAGGAAGTGTATTCACACTAGATGATGAGATTCACCTTAACACCTTTTTTTCACCAATATTCTAATCTACTGGATAGAGGTTTATATTTTTCTGTACTGCTTATAAGAGTGAATATATATATATCTTTCTGGAGATGAGGTTTAGAAGGAAAAAGGAAATTAATGGGGCATTCTAGTTTTGAAAATTCAAAATAATGATGAATAATATACATTATTATTTGTTTTACAATTGTCTGACTAATTGATGGTTGCATTTATTCAATAGACTTGAAATCACTTTTAGACTGAAATAAATTTATGTAAAAACAATTTTTCAAGTATATTCTTAATTTTAGTATTTAGAAAAGAGTTAAAACATAAAAATCAGCGAAATTTTTTTCTTCGTCTTTAGCTTCTTATACGTTGGATATTTATAAAATAAACACATAATTTGAAAAATTGTTTAAGAGAAACTATTTGTAGCATATTTATCTATTGTCGTAACTGTTCATGTAGGTGATGTAGTGGTGTGGCTTATCAGTACTATATAAGGATAACACAAATTATCAAATAACAGGGAGATAGACTTGATGTAGAGGGAATAGCAGAGAGAATAAAATTCACATTTGAATCGGAAAATAAACAAGGAGAATTAGCTTTGCTAGATTATAAAATAAAATAAATAGAAGAAGATAAACTACACACTAGCGTTTATAAAAAACCAACGCATTCCAATAGATATTTAGACTTTAGTTCATCTCATCCGTTAACTGTTAAGGCAGGCTTAGTCAAGTGTTTAACAAACCGAGCAGTAGCACTAAGTAGCACAAAAAACGACCTAGATGATGAACTAAAACAGATAGAAGAGGCTTTGGTGTTGAATAACTATTCGATAAAATTCATTAGGAAAGTCGAAAAAGGCCAAAAGCACAATAAAATTAATTATGGAACTAGTAGTGATAATATAAATGAAACAGAATATAAGTCATCTACTGTTATACCATATAAAGAGGGGACATCTGAGACCCTACGTAGGATTCTTAATTAAGCAGGAATTAGGGTGGCATTCAAACCTACAAACACTCTCCGGTGGGACAAGCTCTGTAGACTGAAAGACCTGGTGGACCGAATGAAACAAAATAAGATAATTTACAAAATGCTTTGCAATGACTGTTAGGTCAACTGCATAGGTCAAACTAGTAGATCATGAGTAATCAGATTGTCGGAACATACGAATTTAGCTAAGGTAATAATGTTTGACCCAGAGAAGATAAGTAATTTGGAAAAAAGCTGAGCAATTGCACTACATGCATTAACATACAACCGCACAACACAGTGGAAGAGGGTTAAGATTCTAAGAAGTAATTTATTTAGGTGGAGAAAGAGATCGATTACATAATCCTGTCTGATTCATTGAGTCTACACCCAATACATGCAACAGAAAGGACTCAATGTAAATACCAGAAATATGGAAGATATTATTACCGCTAGTCAGTCAAATCAGAAGAGGATAATAAATAATCTCAAAATTCTATTTCAATTCAAGCACATCACAACATTCTAACAAGTTACTTATTATGACTATGAAAGCACTCCTCTTATTTCCCATCTGATTGTAATTGGTCAGTAACACTCATATTATTATTTCTGAATGTACATTATCACATATTGATTTTTATTCATATATCTGGTCAATTCCACATATGTATATGAATGAAGGAAAAAGTTGCGTGAGTAACTTGAAATGATTATGAGCAATAATTTGTGCTCGAAACGTGGTCATCAGTTAGCATTGCTGTGTAGCCCTGTGTGACTTATCAAGATAAAATCTTATCTATAATCGGATTATACTCTACCACAGTGCCTAAGTTTTATACTTATATTGATGTCAGAGAAGGCAAATTATACAGCGTTGCGGAGATACGTAGCAGTTGTGATATGAACGCAAACAAACAAAATATGAAGGCCAGAAGTAGTACAACACGATATTCTATGCAAGTGGTGCGTTGAAGATAAAGTTAACATAATTCGGCTATATTGAGATACCGATTTCCTCCTTGCGTCTGACGTCCTTTGGATCGGTTTTCTCAAATTGTTCCTTATTATTTCTCATGATACAACACTTGAATTGTAGTCGTATATATAGAGACTACTTGTAAATAGATACAGAAGAATCCTTCCCTACATTCTTGGTCATGTGTTTACTAATGAATTTTTCAGGGTTGCTGTATTCAATTGACGGGTCATGCACAACTTTAAGTTCGTCTTCAGTCGCATCTTCTGAACAAATAGTTATAACCCTATGACTGAGGATCAGAGGACTGATTTTTTCAATGAATTTGTTATCATTTCACACAGTCGTTTATTTATATATAATATATATTATCTATATTACATATATATAATATACATTATATATATATATATTACGACACTATTCTTTGGGGAAATTTACACGAAAGGCCTAATTACTTACAAAGATCAATATGGGAATTGCCATAAAATTTTTATGATTCAAAAAATATATGAAAAGCAAGCGAATAAAGGGATCATTCAACATACAAAGTAGTTCATAATGTATGTATATATTTAGAAGGGGTGTAAAATTAACTGGCCAACAACGACAATGCACAACAAGGTGAGATGTTTGACACGATAGAGTTAGACACTAATGTAAGTTTTGATAGTGTGAAATATTCCCATATTGTGAATTAATAGTCAGACTGAACGAAGAATATTCTTCTCAATAATTTCTCTTCAGGTTCTTACAATTATAAAATATAATATTTGTTGCCGTTACAATAAAGGCCAGTTATACGGTGGATACAATTTTAACGTAGAATAACAGATTAGTTATAGGGTGTCATAATAAATAGTCGTATTTGTGTGACAGACGTGCTAGTTGGCTGAAATCGATTACAGAATATTGTAAAACGAGAGACAATGGTGGTGATTAGTCATAATAGATTTGTAAGCGTGGGGTAGGAAAATTGACAAGTCAGTTCAAGGTTATAAAAGGTGTCAGGTGAGTGGCTAGTACAAAGTAGTCTGTGTTAAACAGGGGATAGTAAGACTCATTATAAATTATTTAAATTAATCCCAGCGTGTTAAGAAAATCAAAACAAGATTTTTCTGAACGTTTCGCCATGTAAGCCACAGCTTCTTCATCAGATTCATTCGGATTATAGTAAGACTGCAATGAGAGGTTCATAATGAAATGACGAATATGTGAAATGAAACAGATGGAGGCATATATTGAGAAAAGAGATAATATCACTAATAATAAGTCCGGATAGTATAAATGAAAATTCGATAGTATTGACGGAATGTTTGCATGAAGGACATAAATTATGACGAATAATAATAATAATTTTAATAATAATATTTGTGATAATAAGCAAAGGAAAAAAGCCAAGCGGGTTAAGGGGAAGGAGCACTCTTGGTGAGAAGAAAAATCTTCAATCCAAGATTGGCCACGGTAGGAACAGCGTCTGGACGTGTTCATTTTGGATACAAAGTTCCGGTTTAGTCGATCTGATTGCAACAGCTTCAGCTTCCCCCACCACCAGGGTTAGGATCCAGGACTTTGTGTTTACAAGGCAAGCTTGTAGATCATCAGTTAGAGAACAACTGATGTCAGCTCTTGGTGAAATCCTCCATATAATCAAACGAAATTCCATATTAGTTTGTTTATTATATGTATCACACAGTGAAACAGTATTATTTACTGGATGACGTTTCGAACAAAATTTATTTTTCATCATCATATCAATTGTAATCACACGACTTTCAAATCAAACGAAATCCCTAAAAAACCAATACTTGAAAATTAATCTGGTGCTCACTAGCGACTGGCCCTATTCAGGCAGTTAACCTGGGATTCTCGTGGGAAGCCGTGACCAGTGGGCTATAGCAGGTCGAAGATGAGGCAGTAACTCATCGAACAAGACATTGCGAAATGGTTGGGCTATGTCATGAACTGGCTGAAGTTAGAATTCAAGAACCATTGGATCGGATCCCAGAGGCTCAACGGTCGACCAGCTCGCCTTGTAACCATAATGTCCCGGGCTCGAACCCCGGTGGGTGCGTACTGCCGAAGAGTTCCAAACCAGCACGAAACAGCTGTCCAGTAATCCCAGGTTTTCTAGTAGTAGTAGTCAGCTCATGGTGAAATCTTCCATACAATAAAAGGGGTTTATTAACCTGTATAGACAGTGTATATCAAGAATTCAACCTGGACCTCAGAAGTGAGTGGCGAATATTCTACCGTTAAATATCTAGATGTATGCTAATAGTTCTTGAATGCGACATAATTGTATAAAGTATTTCTGAGGAAAAATTCAATACAGTGGTAGTAAAACAAAAACTCTGAGATGCATTCTCTATATACTTTAAACTGCTAAACGAATAAATAGCTTTATTTTCTGCTTTGATGACAAAATCACTGAGCATGATTCTCAGTGGATTTCAAAAGTGTATGTAGTACAATACGCGATTAAA